ATCATGCTGTGATTAACCACAGCGCCAAAGTCGCGAGCACAACACACACACACTATGGGAAAACATTGACCATGTTGTTGATTGTCACGTGTACCCAGACGCAGCTGGGACTCGCGTGAACACCACACTCGACCAAGATATTAGCTTTCACAACTGACAAGCTTACGTCATCATACATGTCCTAAGTTTGTATATTAAATTATAGTGGTGGTAGATCTCGGCTCTCTAGAAGAGAGGAAACAACGGGGACATGATCATAACATAAAATATACTAAAGGGAATCGATAAGACAGACAAGGACAACCACAATCGACTTGAGAATGGTCCAGGACGGACCGAAACGTCGTCGTCGTCCCTTCACCTTCTAGTGTGTGGTCTGGTCAACAAAAAAGGACAACCTCTTTATATTGAGAGAGACGAGAAGACAAGTGGAAGCTGGAAATACAAATGAGTAAGAAAGGTTGGGGAAATACTCGTACCCTCGGGGGCCTCGTAGCCTGGTGGATAGCGCGCAGGACTCGTAACTCTGTGGCGCGGGTTCGATTCCCGCACGAGGCAGAAACAAATGGGCAAAGTTTCTTTCACCCTGAATGCCCCTGTTACCTAGCAGTAAATAGGTACCTGGGAGTTGATCAGCTGTCACGGGCTGCTTCCTGGGGGTGGAGGCCTGGTCGAGGACCGGGCCGCGGGGACACTAAAGCCCCGAAATCATCTCAAGATAACCTCATCTCAAGATAACCCGGTACCGGAGAACAACACGTGAAATTCACTGAAAGAAGTTGCTGTGGAAGCCACCTCCTTCCACAACTGTAACACCAGATTCGACAAAGAATTTACATGTAAGAACAGTTCAAGTATAGCGCAACAGGTAGAGCAAGACTAGTAGACGGGGGTATAAAGAATGGCAGGACCTTTGAGGACCTCACTTCTTCAAAATTAACGAAAGATAATCACTGACAGGTAATCAGTGATAGGTACGCTTGTGATCCTGTGGTCCCGGGTTCGATCTCGGGCGCCGGCAAGAAACAATGGGCAGAGTTTCTTTCACCCTATGCCCCTGTTACCTAGCAGTAAAATAGGTACCTGGGTGTTGGTCAGCTGTCACGGGCTGCTTCCTGGGGGTGGAGGCCTGGTCGAGGACCGGGCCGCGGGGGACACTAAAACTCCGAAATCATCTCAAGATAACCTCAAGATACACACAATATACCCGTCAAATCACTGCAACTCTTTACTATGGGACATTATTCACTCCCAGCAGCTCCCTTCAAGTGACCATGTAAGCTACAGGATATCGCCTGAAGCACTCAACTGGTACATAGGCGGCAGCATACCTAATAATACACACATGCAAAATCCTGGAAGGTCCAGTTCCAAACCTACAAAATAAAACTTTGATAAGTTTATATATATAGTTTTGATATATGGTAAAAAGTGTGACATGAACCCAGTCAAAAGTCGAGGTGCCATAAGCACAATTGGAGAACACCGCGCGCATCACAGATCAACGACTCTTCAGCCTTCTACCGCCATATATAAAGTGTTGCTGGAACAACAGTGGCAGAGCTCTAAGTCTATCGGATCAATCCGACTGTGAAAGCAACGTGGACTTGCGGGCTGAAAAGCAAAACAGCCTTAGGGGGACCAGTTAATCGCCACGTAAAACTGGAAGCAGTCTAGGATGTAGGAGTAAAAACCTGTCAAAATAATTTATAGCTGAATAATCTGATCGGTGAATCTTATTGCTTCGTCTGCTCAGGTGTGGAGACCAACCTCAGTAAGTCAGAGCACTCGTACAGACCACTGCGTGCCACTAATAACGTAGGGGAATCAGATGATCATCACGACAGGTCAACTTTCAACACCTGGCTTAAACTGGCTTCACTGATAAGCGTAAAAATTTCACCTGACAGGTATGCGAGAGCCAGTCGTCGGCGGGTTGTGTAAGTAGACGCCTCGTGGCAGTAGTGTAGAAACCCTCTTAAACACTTTTAGAAAAACCTGTCTACTTTCTTGTTATTGGTTGGTATCTGTACGATACTCTTAAGTGGGGTTTATCTTGTGGTCTTATAGTACTCTCTTTCCCCTCCCACTGTTACTCCCCTCCCCACTCAATGCTACCCCTTCCTCTCCTCTCACACTGCTCCTCTTATTACTGGACAGAAAACTCGTGCTCCCATTCCATCCCACCACCCAATTATCACACAGACGGTCGTGCACATAACTGCTAGACTTACAGGTACCTTTGTCCCTCCCAGTAAGGTCCCCGGGTACCTTTGTCCCCACCAGTAAGGTCCCCGGGTACCTTTCTTCTCTCAAGATGAGAGACTGGGAGAGATTATAGCCCTTACGGGCCTTTGTTGGTGTCGATCAGTGAAGTAACGCGAGACTTACTACAATGTTCTACAAATTATTTATTCGCTCTGTGATTGACTACATTGCTCTTCATCTCACACTGTGTTCCCTTGAAACTTTGCAACATTGAAGTTAAGCTGGTAATCTTTGCAGCTTAGAAATTCACTATAATAGTCAATATGAATCGAGTTAAAATTACAGACAATAAGAGAGAATTGGGTTCATCAGCATAGTTTTCGGCGTGAAGACACACTGTGTTCTCAGAACCATATGAAGTTTCAAACTGACCTGTTTATAATCAGCCTCCTCAGTCACACCCATAATACGACAATGACAGCTTCTTGTAAAGTGGAAGTAGGACGAGAGAACACAGGGGGAAACTGGAAACGCAAATGAGTTGAAGAATTGTAAGGAAAGATTCGTACGCTGTACAAGTGATCAAGTTCAGTGCACTAAAAGAAGCAGCTATGTTAGTCGCCTCCATCCACAACTTCAAGGCTCTGATGCGACAAATAATTTAACTATTCTGACTCCCGAATTCTAACTCAACAGGTACAACAAGTTTAGTAGACGGGCCATAAAGGTATAGACCTCATGCCCCAGTATTCAGACATAACTACTGATAGGTAAATACTCCAACCCAAACCCCCACACCCCCTCTAGGCGTCCCGATAACATCAGGAGTGTCCCGACATCCGAGTCTTCGTTCTGTTATACAACAAAGATTCCTCTTTGGAAGGCACTTGTGTGGAATTTAAGATAAGCCTAAATATGAAAACCCGAGTATCTTACGAGACGTTTACAATTTATCTTTAACATATTTCATACAACCAATATGGCTGTTACGCTGTGCTGCCCATAACAAGAGTTGTGTATTAGTTTAGAGAGTATTTACAGTTACTGAAAGTGAAGGCGGAGAGAGAGCAACATTCCAGGCAGGACAGCTCAAGTCAAAATGAAGAGCAAGAGCACGAGGGGCGGTATTCCTGGCTTTGGGGGAACTTAAGACAGTGGTAGGGACTGTACCACTGTCCTGACTCCGAGTTTCCATGACTGATGAGTTAAGAAAGAGTAGCAGTGCAAGGACACTTTTACCGAGACTGGAATGTGCTCGGATTGGATTTATTATGTGGTTTACTAATACACTTTGTTAAGTTTTATTTAATAATAAGCACTGTAAACTATCCCCAGTTTGCCAACTGTAGGTAGTAACTGTGATTGTATGGGGGGCGGTGTGCAGGACAAACATATAAATTGTGACACTAGCTCTCCACATATGTCAGTTGCTTAATTTAGAACCTGTACTTGAGGTCGATCTCGAACCCATTGTTGATGTGATGACTTATATTGAATTTTGTAACTAGCTCATCAAGATTGTAACTTGCTTAGCTAAATGAATTGTGGGGTTCAGTCCCTGAGCCCATTATGTGCCTCTGTAACCCTTTCCACTACCGCCCACAAGATGGGTATGGGGTGCATAATAAATGAACTAAACTAAAAAACTAACTAAAACTGTCAGACAATATACATGTCTCCCACTTTATCAATTATTACTTTGGACGTCATTTTATGAGCTCTCTCCACTAATGTCACATTATTCAAATGCCTCAGAGTTCTCCTACCGCTTCCCTGAACTTGTCACAATGGTGGAGCTCCTGGCAGCTTGTTGTTGTTAAAGATTCGCTACCTGGAACAAAGTTCCAAGTAGCACGGGCTATGGTGAGCCCGTAACTTGATTGATGCTGGCAGCTGCACAACCTTCCCGGCCTAACGCATGATTTGTAACGAAATTCAGCGCATGCCGAGCGTGCGCTGAATTTCTTATAAAGTTTCTCGGTAATTCTTTATATAAGCCTAGGTTCTTAACTTATAGACTGCGATGAAATAGGTCTAGGTAACTGGGTATATACTGGGCAAGCCGTGATGTTTGGACCCCCGCTAGCTGGGTGTGTTAGGTCTTGACCTACTCCCGCCAGCACTGTGCCCAGGAAGCAGGTTGTGTGTGTGTGCGTGTGTGTGCGTGTGTGGGGTGTGTGTGTGTAGATGATTGGCTTCACCTGACTCACCTCACTGCTCTCGTACTGTTGTTTGCTGCCATTGTTTATGGCACAATGGTCTGTGTAGGCTACTTGTTAACGTGAAAATGTTGTTCAATGTAAAATGTTAAAATGTTATATATATACACACACACACACACACAATATATAATGTACTGAATAAGAGAGAACACGTGTGTGTGTGTGTGGGGTGTGTATGTGTGGTGTGTGTATGTGTGGTGTGTGTGTATGTGTGGTGTATGTGTGGTGTGTGTGTATGTGTGGTGTATGTGTGGTGTGTGTGTGGTGTATGTGTGGTGTGTATGTGTGTGTGGTGTGTGTGTATGTGTGGTGTGTGGTGTATGTGTGGTGTGTGTGGTGTATGTGTGGTGTGTATGTGTGTGTGGTGTGTGTATGTGTGGTGTGTATGTGTGTGTGGTGTGTGTATGTGTGGTGTGTATGTGTGTGTGGTGTGTGTGTATGTGTGGTGTGTATGTGTGGTGTGTATGTGTGTGTGGTGTGTGTATGTGTGTGTGGTGTGTGCATGTGTGGTGTGTGTATGTGTGGTGTGTGCATGTGTGGTGTGTGTGGGGACGGGGGGGTGGCACTAACCGTAGGCATGAGGAGGGTGCGACACCTGTTGCGTCAAGCAGCGACCTAACACCATCAAGAGTCCTCCCAACACCTGCTGGAGTTCCTTCATGACCCGCTCCTCCAGTCTGCTCCCTCACTACGGCTCGAGGACCACCTCGCTCGTCCAACCACTTGATAATTATCTCTAGTAAAGTGCGTACATCTAGAACAAGTTTACCTTCAAGTGGCACCACGAAGGTGTGTTCTATTTTGTACACTTGTCTCATACATGATGAACTGCTCACACACTTGTGCAGTATGAGCTGTGAAAATTTAGTTTCATTATTTTCTATTTGCAAGGTGCATAATTATCAAACTACACGTGTGCATTCATGTAAACATACTAGTTTACAGATTCTTAAATGTCGAAGTTTACCCCTATTGTGTAATACACCTTGCTCTATGTCGCTCAAATAACACAGCTTTAAAGCACCTTAACAACTCACAGAACACGAACTTTATAATTAAATATCGAATATAAAAATATAGATTTCTCCCGCAGAACGTCGGGAAGAGGGAAGAGCGCCGTACACCCCCGACACTGTCTGCTGAGGCACTGCGCGTCACCTCACGAAGGCTCGGGTTGGTCACTCCCAGCCGCCTGGGAGGGTTGGTACCCGTGTGTCTTGTAAGACGGCCTAACTGGTGCTCGGTTTATGGTCTACCAATCTCTGGAGAGTTATTATAGCCACTACAGTTGTTTTTTTCTTCAATCCTGCATCAAAGTGATGTCATAGATCCTCTCAACTATTTCACTGAGTCAACCGTCCTCCGATTATCACATGGGATCGGTTTTCAATGGTGTTTCAAACGTGGGGTTGACGTACCACTTGAAAATGGTCCAAGACGGACCGAACCGCTGTCGAATCTTCATATTTTGATGTGTGGTTTGGTCCTATATGCAACCCGTCCTCGACCCAAGTCCATTCCATCCAGCGGTCGACCCCACAGATGCATTCTTCAATTATAACATGCTGTTCATTCAAAACAGTAATTTTCTCAAGTATAAATTAATCGTGACGAGCATCTAGAATAGAGTCACAATAACGTGGCTAAAGTATGTCGACCAGATCACACACTTAGAAGGTGAAGGGACGACGACGTTTCGGTCCGTCCTGGACCATTCTCAAGTCGATTGTGTGACTTGAGAATTGTCCAGGACGGACCGAGACGTCGTCGGCAACCTATCTTATTACCATGGATAAATTACCTGAAATCCTTGCACTGTACCCACATTTTGCTTCCAGTAGATGAACGACATATGAGATTCAGAAACAAGTAGTGTATTGTGAGGACTAATAATAAACAGAAGCTCCCCTATGACTCTGTAATATCCCCATTGGCCAAACTATTATGTATTAACGATAAAACCTACCATTAATGTATGATGACTTACTGTAAATATGTAGCTCTTGTAATAGCACTTTCTCTGTAACTAGCTGACATTGTATCTATAAGGTGTGAAGGATTGAAGAAATTGTTTATGTAATAATCTAAGATGAGGTCTGATAAAGACCTTTTGTGCCCTCTGTAATGCTTTTGCGCTACCGCTCACAGGATGAGTATGGGGTGCACAATAAACTAGCCGCCTTCGGCGGCAACAGTGTTAATGTCGTCGTCCCTTCTAAGTGTGTGGTCTGGTCAACAATCTGCAATAGAGCGGTGGCTCTTCTGGCAGGTGTCGTGCCAAGCGCACATTAATAAAAAAAGGTAAAACAAAGTAAACACAACTGCTTGGGTCCTCTACTGTGTGAGAGCTGCGGGTCAGAATCAAAGAGAATAAAAACTTCAAATCATTTAATATAACAAAAAATTACTTTAATTTTTACACCAAAGGATAAGTAACAATTAACGAAAACAAAATCCCTTAACTACTTGGCTAAAACACAATCAAAAGAAAAATATACACATGTGAAATTGACGTTAATAATAAAGGTACAGGTAATACTTTATACCAAATGTTGTGTGTGTGTCTACCGTCACCTGGGGGAGACGAGAGTAGGTGTTATAGCTGAGAGCACTCCAAGGGTAGTCTGCTGTGCTGGATTGATTGATTGATGAAGATTAAGTCACCCAAAAGGTGGCACGGGCATGAATAGCCCGTAAGTGGTGGCCATTTTAAGCCATTACCAGTATCAAGAGCTGATACTGGAGATCTGTGGAGGTGCGACTGCACCCTGCGTGACGGGAGATGTCTCCCGGACCAAGTGGTGACCAAATGGTGGCTGTGCTGGACGTTAGCAAGCCCTTATATATGGGTCATGACGTCATAGTTATTTATTTATTTATTTATATACAAAAAGGTACATTGGGATTGTGAGGATACATAGCATAGTAATAACATTCTTGTAAAGCCACTAGTACGCGCAGCGTTTCGGGCAGGTCCTTAATCTAAGAAACTTATAAGTAGGTAAATACTTGTAAAATTTATACAAATGATAACAGTTACATAGCATGAAAAAAATAAAAGACGAGATAAAAATTGTAGGTATATTAAAGCACATAGATAGCTCAGAGTGATTGCAATGACAACTTGAATGGTAGTTTAACAAAACTTAGCAGGCACAATACACCATATGGCTAGCAGTTGGCGCGAATTCTGAAGGTTTAACAAAAAGTTGGCAGTTAAACGATCGAGAGAGGTCGTTGCCGGTAGCATATGTACTATATTAGACCTATGATAGCGTATATTAGGCCTAGGATTGCTAGGAATTGCTAGGTTAAGAGATTGATATGTAGCGGTTAAAATAGTTTCTGTCCGAATTCAATAACACAAAAATAAACTTTATTGTGGTCCTTTTTCAACGAAAACTGTAGTAAACTTTCAAACAAATAGTTACTATAGGTACTTTCATTTTAGGAGCCGGTCGGACAGCACGCTGGGCTTGTGATCCTGTGGTCCTTGGTTCGATCCCAGGCGCCGGCGAGAAACAATGGGCAGAGTTTCTTTCACCCTATACCCCTGCTACCTCGCAGCAAATAGGTACCTGGGTGTTAGTTAGCTGTCACGGGCTGCTTCCTGGGGGGTGGAGGCCTTGTCGAGGACCGGGCCGCGGGGACACTAAAAAGCCCCGAAATCGTCTCAAGATAACCTCAAGATAGGAGGACGGGCTGGTATTCTCTGAGGCTTATACACATGCTGTAATGTGTGGCTGTGGTCTGAAACTCCATGTTTAGACCCTATACAGCAGAAACTGGTAGATGGTTTAGTAGCACTCTGCAGTGTTAGGTGGGGTTGGAGCCTCAACAATCAGGAGTATTTGAGCGTGTATATAATTTGGGAATTTTTATATCATTTTTATATCACTGAACCAGTCCCCGTGGTGCAGTGGTAAGACACTCGCCTGGCGTTCCGCGAGCGCTTTCGTATCCTGGCCGGGGAGGATTTACTGGGCGCAAATCCTTAACTGTAGCCTCTGTTTAACTCAACAGTAAAATGTGTACTTGGTTGTAACAACGATTCTTCGCGGCGGGGATCGTATTCCAGGGACCTGCCCGAAACACTACGCGTACTAGTGGTTGTACAAGAATGTAACAACTCTTGTATATATCTCAAAATATAAGTTGTTAAATTATAGACCTAGAAAGTTTCCTGTTTGATATCAATCTGATGTTATTGAAAAAAACCCTGACACTTAAAATTACTAACAAGTAGTAGGTCATCTCGGTGGTAAATGTGAGGTTCCATTGACAGACATTTATATGTGAATATTTTAAATCTTCAGTGTTGATAGGCCTACTTATAGCTACTTATTTACAAAAACGTCCATTTAGCTTTATAATAGTTAGATGTTAACAACACATTCATGTTGCGCAGATGCCTTTGTTCTCGACTCATACTCTCTGATCCCGGGTTCGATTTCCGGGAGGGACGTAAATGGATGAGCATGTTTATTTTCACCTAATACCACTGTTCACCTAGCAGTAGCTAAGTATCAGAGAGCTAGGCAACTATTGCGAGATGCATCCTGAGAATGGTCAGCAATTAAGTTAGGGAAACCTTGACAAGCTTACAAACTTCTTGCCCCAACACTAGAAAAAACAAATAATAATTAGAATGATGTTACAAATATAATAGTTTATGTTTAAATAGTTTATACTAGTTTTCTATAAATACTGTTTCAGCGTTCAAAGAAAATATTTGATGACTAACTAATATAATAAAAGTGAAAGCCAACATACTCGAATGAAATTTGCAACAAGAGAGTGAGATTCAAGGGTAAAAGAGTGAGAGACTTGTATGATTGTGTGAGCGGTAATTATTAAGTTATCTGTAAATAAGGTATACCTGCATAGTTCTGCTTCTCTACATTTATGTGGCTATGCCATTGTTTCATCGATTCTAGCATTTTAATTCCAGTTGTCAGGAAGCTGTGAGTATATATTTTAGGATTGTATCGAGAGTCGCCCAAGATTTAAGTAGTAACCCTACCCAGGAGCTCCTGGGTATCTATTTACTGCTAGGTGAACACAAGCATTAGGAGAAAGTTAAGTTCCAACCATTTCTCTTCCGTCCGGGGAATAAACCCTGGATCCCCAATGGTGAATCGACAACGTTTGTAGTTTTCTAGACCAATATTTGGTGTACTTTCTCAGATGCTCGGAGTAGTTCATACCCACCACGTCAACCGGAAATCCTTGATCCGTGCAGTTTGCTAAAGTTTCCGGAAAAAAGAGGACTGATTTTAAAAATATATATTTAACAAATCCCTATGTTGATACTTTTATAATAACGTGCAGAGATGATTGCTGATGACTTTCCTCAAGACACATGAAGCTAGGCTGCTCTGGCGTGTTGTTCCCCCTCGCCTGCCTTCTTAGAAGATAGGAGTGACTTGCACTTATCATTTTCGTCTTTTTCTTATGTTTGAGTTTCCTGAACAAGTTTTCAGCGATCTGAGAAGTGAAGAAGTTTTCAAGGTATGAAAAGAACTCAACTAGAGATTCCAGGAGGTCTTGATACAGAGCAAGAAGTCCCTGAGCTGGGAGAGGCAGCAGTAAACCAAGCAGCTTTATATTCCAAATGTAAGGAAATGTTCCCCCATTTCTAGTGAGGAGTTGAAGACTAGCAAAGGGCTCACACTAACTCATCCTCATAAACAAAGGTCAAAGTCCATTCCATGCACCCGCCAAACCCCCTGTTTATGAATGAAAAAGGTTTACACACAACCCGTCTTCTACTCAAGTCCATTCCATCCAGCGGTTGACTCCAAAGACGCATTCATAAATTTTTACTTGCTGTTCACTTAAAATAGAAATTTTCTCAAATATAAATTAATATTATAATATACTAGCATATTGTGCATATATAGGCATAGGTTAGGTTAGGTTAGGCTAGGTGTTTAGGTTCTGTTGGCGATTATTTGTATTTGTAGTACGTGGGTGAAGCATTTACTGCGTTGTGGTTCGAATAAAACTCGTCAGTGAAGCACTTGTTCCGGAAGTGTTCGAACGTCGTCCAGCCCGTCCTCCAAACAAAGACCCAAAAGTGATTCCATGCACCCACCAAACCCCCTGTTTATGAATGAAAAACGGTTTACACACGACTCACAACTGATGACGTTCG